AAAGTAACTGAACCAAAGAAAGGTAAAGAAGTCAATGAGAAGTTCAATAAAAAAATACATTCGAAATAAGAATCTCTTCCTTTCTTGAAGTCTAATCTATAATACAAAGAAAGCGTTGGCCCATACATAGGTATTATGATGCAAAAACAATGTTTAGACATCTAAAAAGCACAATGTATGATTGTACACTACGAATGCTGACGTCATGCAATTAAAATGTTAGTGCACGTGTGTATGCAATAGTATTTAAACAATAGTAACTCCGAAGTACATAATAATTCATCACGTGTTTAAAAGAACCGCTATATAGTATAGTACATCTAAATAAGAAGAAATTAAAGTTACGCTAGATTTTATCGCCCTTCAGAATGTAAATTCAAAAATAAGAAACAACTCGAAAATGAACTCTGAATATGATTTCTAAGAATATATAGAAAGTAGTAGAAACCAAAACAATAAAAGACTATGCTTAGCTATCAAAACTAATGAAAGACAATAAGACCCTCTTGCCACACAAAGATCGTGGATCCATTACAATTTCCGTTCATTATCAAAGAGATGAAACGATAAATAGTTGCTAGTACAATTCACTATACAATACTACAACATATAACCGACACTAACAAAATAGTAAGACAATGGTATAATAGACTAAAGACAGTTTTCACCAAACCGTCCACCGTCATACTTAGCAAAATGTTATTGTTTCTAACTGATGGCTGCTATCGTCGAAGAACAAACATATTTACAATATGAGGTCACCACAGCCCGTGGGGAGATTTGTTTTCATAAATAACTAACCATATTATAAACATGAAACCTCATATAGTGTAAACTAAGATACATTTTTTCATAAACATCCTCCACGTAGAAAAGAAAATATGGTCTAGGATGGTTGCAAATTTTGCTATTGTAAATTATCGATCGAACAATGAGGGGTATCTAAATATAAAAAGTACCTAAATGAATGCCTAACCTGTCACTATTCAGATAGTTAAATAAAACTAAAGAACTAGAATTTATTTTGTGCTCAATACCCACAGTTAAATCAGGATCTATTTTCCGAAACTGCATTCTTATTTTATTTATAAGTCCTCAACTAATATTGCTTATGCATATTGCTTATGTAATGTGTAATGTATACATGATTTGAAGGTCTATTTTTCCATAAACAGTAATCGAAATTGTCAGTCAATGCTAGCGCGGAACCCACCTTTTTTCTCTAGATGAAAGAGATCTTTGTCCAACTTAAAAACTGATATATCTCATTAATTTCCACTCGCAACTTCTTAATGACTGCTTGAAAGTCGGTTGCCAACTCTTGAGCGAGTAACTTATCCCTACATTACACACACTGACATGTGTTTAACCTGTTAATATGTGATTCTGATTCTTCATTAACTATGAAGTGTATTTTTCAAGAAGAAAATTATGTGATTAGTGTTTCTTCTTTGACCAGTTTCATCTGTTCTAATAAAATGTGAATTTGATAGTCTGTAACTAACTTATTTATATGATTTTTTTTATTTTGTAAAACTAACAACACTAAAACTATGGATGTATTTATTATCGTTTTCTTTAAAGTACCAATAAGTGGTGCTAAATAGTTATATTGGACAATCACTTGCTAAATGCACCGAATTCGGACTAGACGCAAATTAACAAGTCAACAGTATTTTTGCGAATATCTGGTTCAAATTTTGACCTGCTCCGGCGCCTCCACAGTGCAACGCCTGTTACGACACATCCCTAGGGACAACTCGACACCTGCCACTAGCTCCTCGGAAATCGTTGATAGGCAAGGTGATACACAAGAAAGTACCTACGTAATTTTTAAACTGACAACAGTATCCAATCGGGCCTTCTCTGCATTTATCCTGCTATATCAATCTAAGCATCTCTTTCCCGGCCATTGTCCTTTTACTATCCACTGTCCTCTATCCTTTCTCATACGATACAATTTGCGTTCAACTTTTCCATCATCAGCATTACATGTTAAGCAGAAATTGTAAGAGTGAGATAACCCAAAGCTTTGTTTTAGTTATCATTAGTTGCCGATCATAAGGGCTTCCCTATTCTTTTGTTACACAAAGTAGGTGCTGGCAGTGAGATGTGTGTGCTATGTATCTGTATTTATGTATTTTAAATGTATGTACTTTTCTACGACTCCAAGTAGTGTGGGGATCTGTTTGTTGTGTGTTTCAGAGATAGTACAACATAGAACTCTTTTGTTTCATTCAGTATTCGCAGTTTATTGCTTTTATTTTATAATTTAGGCTTAATCATCAACAGCCTATAAGTGGCCACTGCTGACCAAAGGCCTCTTCTCACACGGAGAAAGTTTGAGCATTAATCACCACGCTTGCTCAATGTGATTTTAAACCTTATAATTAGAAATTATTAGTCCAGATTTCCTTCACGATGTTTTCCTTCGCCGTTTGTCAGTGATGTCTAAATAATCTTAGAAAGTCACATTGGTACTTGCTGTTGGTAGGTTTTGAACCCTCGGATGCACGGAGGCTGGAACTGTGCCCGGTATATGGCAATAGGCTTATTACACGGGACTCATAACATAAAATTGAAAAGTCGTTGTTACATTGTACAGTGGCATTAAGTGTTGTAATGTGTACCTCTACCTACCCCTTCGGGGATATAAGGCGCGGTGTTGTGTTATGTGTTTGTTTGTTTGTTACTCCGTCACATCAAAACGGCTGAAGGGATCAGAAATTTGGAACAAGGCTAGATTCTGGTCTAGAATAACAGACAGGCTACTCTCTATCCCATAGGTCAACAGACGCTTAAGAAAGCAATTCAAAATAAATGCCATATACATACATACATACATAACATCACGCCTTTTTATCCCCGGAGGTGTAGGCATAGTGAACATTAACTCGTCGAGTACCGGTTTTGTAGACACAATTATAGAACAATAGGTTGCGGTCACCGGTGACCGCTTGGTGTTTGACAGTTTAAGGCACTTAATGCCACTGTACGATGTAACACCCACTTTTCACTTTTTATGTTATGAGTCCCAAATAATAAGTGGGTGAGCCTATTGCCATATACCGGGCACATTTCCAGACTCCGTGCTACTACTGAGATTTTTAAAAACCCAGTAATACTTTGCTGGGCGCGGCAGCAAAGTATTACTTGAGGCCTTGCCCAGCAGTCGCACTTGCGACCACTCGGACAACGAGGCAGCCATATCTGTATTCCACTAACTATCATAAGGTGACATTCAGGTTCTTTCACATCAGATCAAGATAAACGTGTTTATATTATTATAAAGTACGTGCAATAAACAATAACAGCAATAATTACACACAACAAAATATGCTGCGTAATATATTAAATGTTATGTTATAAATCACGTTCTAGTTACATACATCGCTTATCTAAGCGAGTGATACAAACAGACAAACAAATATTTAATAAAATTGTACTGTTATGTAATTACAATGTAAGCTGATAGATTTGATGAACAAACAATATATATTTGCACGTGGTTACAGAAAATATTTTATCGATGACATAAGTTTTATAGTCTTCTTATACTTAATATGAGTGCTAACGAAATTGTTTTTAGATTTTACCTCTATATTAATAAAAAAGAAGGCAGTGAGCCACGCCCTAATTTTCTAACACCAATAGGTATTTTGCTATCTGAATTAATTAACGACTGAATAAATAAGTTCTATTTTATATATAAAAATAATATGAAGGAGATGAACTTGCATACTAAAATTTATATTCGATATCTTTCGTTATAGTAGCATTATCGGTTAGTGTAGTTTTCTTCAACTTATTTTATTGGTCAGATTCTATGAATATTCTATTAATGAACATCTATTTATTGCACTACAAGCCCTTTTAAACAGAGAACAAGATTCTTTAATGGAATTGGGGTTTTTTTTAAGGGGGAAAAATCATCGAATGACTGCTCCCGCCTGGGTGAGACGAGAGGGAGTGTCAGACTCTTACTGACTAAAAACCACCCCGTTCCTTCTCCCGCACGTCGAGCCGGTTCCCGGTTATCCGTTAGGTTCTCCGCGACTCCGAATCGGCATCGGCCCTGTTGAGCCCCATCTGTGGTGGTCTGATAGCTCTTTGAGGCGCGCGCGGAACGCGACGCGCCATGGAATTGGGGGATAGACGAATCACCTGATGATGGTAAGCAATCAGAGTCGTCTATGGACACAAGACATAACCAAAAGCCGAATGTGTGTTATCTGTGCTTTAAAAAAGACTACGTTATTTTTTTTAAGTCTAATTAGTTACCCTAATACTTTCTATTTCATAAAAATTATGTATTTTTATTTAGATTAAAACTTCCTTTATCAACATGAGATTGTTCCTGTCTTCAAGGCCCGAGTGAATAGGTTGCTTTTGGGAGATGTGCTCGATCTATATCAGGCGAGATAGTAGCCAAACGACGACCCAACAATTATATATAAAAAATAGGTACAGCTATATAGGTTTCACGTCATACACATCGCATTTCTTCAGGTATTAAAACAATAATGATATCATTAGTGAAGATTTTACAAAACCTACACAAATGTACGTCTTTCACAGATATTTTCAATATTGACAATTCTATCGTATTGTGGGTATATTAAGTTAGGTACTGAATAGTTCAGAGTAGCTTTGCTGTATTCTACCGTTACGTAAGTATTGAT